GTGGGGGGGGGGGGGGGGGGGGGGGGGGCCTTATTGTTACAGTATCTATCATTATAGCATTCTGTATTATCACCTATATACTACTTTATACCACCTACTGGTAGCATGATAAAATCATTGTCATGTCTCGCACGTAGATAAAATCTTAAGTCCACCTCTGGTGGCCTCTCGATTTTATCCATGTGCTTGCGATGAGAAAATTGTTCTCAGGACAAACCATTACGACGCAGTGTAACAATCTATAATTATTATATTACTGGGTATTTTCTCATGGTATATAGGATATCGAAGTGTTTAAAGTTTTATCCACTGTATAACCTTGGTAAAAAATATTTTTCAAAATGAAAAGTTTTTCCTGACTATCTAGCCTATAATTAGCCATATTGACACTGATGTCTGTTACAGGGTACAGTTGGCGTTTGTCCTACAGAAACTAGGGCGACCAGAGGAAGCTCTCGCCATCTACAACCAGGTGATGAAACACAAGTATGTATTAAGCCAGAGTGTTCATTGTCTTACTGGTCAGCTTAATGAGGAGCAGAAACTAACCTTTATTATATTATACAAACGATATACAAGCTGGAGCTTCAACATCTAGACTCTGTAGTTTTGTTATCGGTTTACATGTTTTGACTAGCTAGGCTAGCCTTCTTCAGAATCAGTATTATATACAATGTATTATGTTGAAAAACAAAAACATTAAACTGAAAAACATGTTTGGGGATAATTTAATATATCATGTTAAAAAACATTGCAATTTATTATTATGAAATTTTCAAAAAATACATTTGACCATGCATTTTGACAGCTAGAGTTGACTTTTATTTCAGACCATCTGATGCAGGACTTTCAGCTGTTGCTTCTAACAACATTGTCACTCTCAATAAGGTAAGGCACTAGGGGCTTAACAAATATAGTTCACTGTGTGGTAAAGTGAACTGTGTGACGATTAGTAGACTTATCTGATACCACACAGAGAAACGGCATGGTGATGTCTAGCTGCTTAGGAAAGGATTTTCCAGCATTTCAAACTATGATTAGATTAATTAATTTCTCATACTTTTGTTTTTATATGCATATTCTAAGTCGTTTTTAATGCATGACAAAAACAAAAGAAAAATACCCCATAATAATGCATAAAATTGTCAAAGTACAGCGGGATTTCATCTTTAAATATGTAACTATTTGTAGGATCAAAATGTGTTTGACTCCAAAAAGAAAATGAAATCAGCCACATCTGATAACCTGAAACATAAGCTGACCGGTAAACAGAGGCAGAGCATCAATATCAACCAGTGTCTGCTTCATCTACATACAAACCAGGTGAGTGGTGGTCTTACCCTTACAGCTATACCTTGTTATACTGCAAACATCTACATACAAACCAGGTGAGTGGTGGTCTTACCCTAACAACTTAACCTTGTTATACTGCCAACATCTACATACAAACCAGGTGAGTAGTGGTCTTACCTTAACAGCTTTACCTTGTTATACTGCCAACATCTACATACAAACCAGGTGAGTGGTGGTCTTACCTTAACAGCTTTTCCTTGTTATACTGCAAACATCTACATACAAACCAGGTGAGTGGTGGTCTTACCCTAACAGCTTAACCTTGTTATACTGCCAACATTTACATACAAACCAGGTGAGTAGTGGTCTTACCCTTACAGCTTAACCTTGCTATACTGCCAACATCTACATACAAACCAGGTGAGTAGTGGTCATACCCTTACAGCTTAACCTTGCTATACTGCCAACATCTACATACAAACCAGGTGAGTAGTGGTCTTACCTTTACAGCTTTTCCTTGTTATACTGCAAACATCTACATACAAACCAGGTGAGTGGTGGTCTTACCCTTACAGCTTAACCTTGCTATACTGCCAACATCTACATACAAACCAGGTGAGTAGTGGTCTTACCCTTACAGCTTAACCTTGTTATACTGCCAGCTTTTGTTCATCTCAAAGTTTGGCATTATAAAGTGTTTTGTTTTGTGATGTGGGAGACGTATGGGAATTGTTAAGAAGAAAAGAAATAGGGACCACAAAATATATTGGTAAGATGCCATGAGAATGAGGGCTGTTATATCAGGGTTTTAATGTAGACACTTCCATTACAGCTAGGTTCCTGAAATCAATATACATGTCTGCAAATCTCAAAATAAAGAGCTTCTTGACTTTTCAGACTGTCTGTTTTTTATGTTTTTATTTCTTCAATGATTGATTCATGCCCAATTTGGACATCATGTTGGGCTATCGTGATATCAGGTCTATTGAATTTCTTCAGTATACATACCATGACTTAATGTCTCTGCAGTGTTTCTGATTAACCAATGAAATGACCTGTTTCATCAGAAAAAACATTAGAATTGACAGTCACTGTTTCACTTGAGTTTTTGTTAAGATGGCTCAGTGCATAATAATTAGAGAGGTGACATAATTGGCCATCACTGTTTTCATTTGAGCTTGTGTATTTAACCTGATTGTATACAGGACGTTTAGAGTACATTATCATTTTCTTTGATCGGTGATGTAATTGCAGACTGACCAGTGCCACAGTCTGGCGGCCAAGCTGAAGACTCAGTTCCCTGACCTTTCGACCCCTGTGCTGGTGGACGCTGCCCAGTATGTCAAAGACAAGGACTATAAACGGGCTATCCAGCTCATGCAGGTAATTAGTACACATTCATCCAGTGGTTCAATCACTTGTCTTTCACCTCTACACCATATGTTCAGTTCCATGTTGTTGACATTTTTTAATTCTGCCCACTATTTTTGGTGTTTTGGGCTTGAAGAAAAAATAGTTCTTCACTCCATTAATACGACTCAGAGTCATAAGCCTGTTTGCTTGTATCAGAATTTGTTTACTTTCTGTAAAATAAGGTGGCATATGAAATATGATATATTTTCAAACTAGACATGCCCACTGTTGGTGCTTAACAAAGGAGTATTTTCAACTTTTTATACGTAATTTACATCTTGTCATGTATTCCGTCTTTTGGTATTGCAGAGCTATCTGCTCTTGGGAGCAGGTATTGATTGTTACGTCATTTGTACGTCGTTTTCTCAAATTTATGACATTACTCTCACAAACAAATGACGTAACAATCAATACCTGCTCACAAGAACAGATAACTCTGCAATACGAAAAGACGGAAAAAGCTAAAAAAAAAAGAAAGAAAAATAAGGAGAAAATGATAAAAAAAACTGTATTTACTCCAGAACATATGATCAAATTTTACAGGACTACACGAAGTTGCACCCTGAGCAGGCTGTGAAGATACAGCTAGCTTCGGCTCAGATCCATCTGGTCCACGGGGAAGTGTATCAGGCTTGTGATGCCCTCAAGTCCCTCGGCGACCTCCAGTACAGACCAGGGGTGGTAAGTGTCATCTGGTCCATGTTTCTCTGTGTGAATGAAGGAAGAAGGAAGTTGATTTGGAAGTTTGGGGATGAATAAAGCCAAGGTTAGGATTCTAAAGTGGACAGGTCAGTGTAATTTGAGAACAGAATAGTTTGAGTTTTGGATAGTATAACTGGCGGACTGTTCCCTATAGTTTGAATTGACTTTTACAATAATATTGTAATTAATGTTGACTTATCCTTCTAGGTTTCGGCGCTTGTTACGCTTTACTTGAGTCAGGAGGATAGTGACTCGGCCTCAGACGTCCTTGACCGCACTGTGAAATGGTACCAGAAAAACCAGGTAACTATGCATGGTGACAACAACCAAAACAATTCTTTGTTCATTTTAATGTGAAACATCCTACGCCAAGCAGCAAATAATTCATATCTAAGTGTCAGTCATGTTCAAAGCAGCAGATATCTTTATGACGATATTTTGTTGTGTTGATTTGTTTGAAAGTTAATGAGGAATTATTTAGAATTATTTAGAATTCCATGGAAATAATTTCAGTATAAATATTCTTTTCACAAATCTGAGCAAGTAGGTCAGGTTCACATTCGCTAAGATAAGAATGTTTAAATTGTGACATACAGAATGACAATTATTATAACAATATTAAGAACTGATTGTTTGTTCCTGCAGGCTAACACTCCTGATCATTTGCTGATAACAAGGGCCAATGCAAATTTCCAGTTAAAGAATGGCAATCCTAAACAGGCTGCTGCGATGTTAGAGGATCTGAGGAGGTAGTTATTATCAGTTTTTATAATATATCACTGGATCTGAGGGGGTAGTTCTTATCAATTTTCATTATATATCACTGGATCTGAGGAGGTAGTTCTTATCAATGTTCATTATATATCACTGGATCTGAGGGGGTAGTTCTTATCAGTTTTCATTATATATCACTGGATCTGAGGAGGTAGTTCTTATCAATGTTCATTATATATCACTGGATCTGAGGAGGTAGTTATTATCAGTTTTCATTATATATCACTGGATCTGAGGGGGTAGTTCTTATCATTTTCATTATATATCACTGTCAGCGATTCAGCTTCCTGTTGCCTCTGTCAACATTGTATTATCACTCAATTTCCAGTTTTCTCTCAAATTTCTGTTATCTCAGTCAAATTTCTGTTATCTCAGTCAAATTTATGTTAACTCTGTCAGCTTCAAGTTATAGTGGTCAATTGCCCATTATAACTGTTAACCTGTCGAGTTTCCTTTTACAATTAAGCAACAAAATTCCATCTTAATCTGTTGCACGCTGTAACTGTCAACATTAATTAAGAATAAACAATTTTGAAAACGCAGTGTCTTACAAAATAGACACTCTTCATTTGTGATGTCAGTTAATTGCTACAAGAAAAAAAAGGAAATTATAGGAGAAGAAAACAGATTTTTAGTACTTGAATAACTTACAGTTAAATGTTTCTTTTGGTAGACATTGTGGGATAGTGCTGTGTTACTTCAAAATGGTTGATTTTGTGAATCATCAATTCTAAAAGAAGCTTCATAAAAAAGGGCCCCAACCCTGGCAGTATTCCAAAAATGTTGTGGGGCGATCAAAAAAAATCAAAAAATCTAAAAGATGGTTCATAAACATCGTTTAGGTCCAGGCTTATGTGTTAACTGTATGTAATCACCATTACATATGTGTCTTGTCTCCCCAGGTCCATGCCGAATGATCCACAAACACTCGCTCAACTCATCTCTGCGTATTCCCAGTTTGACCCGGAGAAGGCACAACTGTATCCTTACCAACAATGAGTCTGAGAATTGTTTGCCGTTATACAACAGTGTATATTGTAATGACTTGATTTGATAACAAAAATTACCCTGGCCACTATGGAATATTTGAACGACTGAGAAATACAGTTTACCAGGAAAGTTTTGTTGCAGTTTAATTTTCAACTTTCATAATTATATAATGAGGGCGAATTTAACTTTACAGCAAATATAACCAAACAATGAATGTGAGAGACAAATTTACATTGGGTGAAAATTTAATTGACAAACAAAGGGCGAAAGTTGACCAGGTGAACATTTTCTGGTATTCAGTAGGCATTTAACTTTACTATTTTATGAGGTAGATTTGAGAGAACTAGTTGTTTTAGTAGGATTTCATTGAAATCATTAAGATATGAATAAAATGGTTTAAAATATTTTAAAGTGGATTCTATTGAACTTGAAATGATATTTTGTACGTTGAATTTTGAACTCATCTTGAAAGTTGGTTATTTTTGTGGATTTTAGAAACCTTGTCCTCAAATTTCGTATTATTGTAGATGTGAGAGAAATAGTTTCAAGTGATCTTTGAAGTTTGTGAAGTAGCAAGTAGGGAATAAGTCCTGACTTCTGATTTAAGTAGATTCCACTAAATTCATTAAAACAGTTTGTAAGGTAGATTTGAGTGAACTAGTTTTAGAAGTCGGTGAGTTAGATTCGTGTACATCTGATCATAAAAGTTAACACTGCAGTGATTTATTTTGCCTGGTTTTACAGCTGAATACAGGCTGTTACAACTAGCAAAAAAGTACTGTATTTTCCCAAAATGAAGAAAAAAAGAAGAATATCTTCCCTATTGCAATAAAAAAAATCTTTATTTTTTCCAAATACATGTACATGTTAGAACAGGCTCCTGTAAAATTTAGGTACATTAAACACTATTTCGATTTAAAGTAAAATGAGTGTGGATAAAAGTTGGTGATTTGATTCATCAGAGATCTATATTCTGCCTGCTATTTACCATATTCTGCATGGTGAGTCCTTAACTGTGTCAGTATAAGCCGTGACCTACCATCGGTAAAGACTCTGGCCCAGAATGTCGATGTGGACGCTGTGGAGGCAGCCTTCAGCACACTAGGACCCAAGTACATGAAAAGGGCACAGAAGACTGACACGCAGCCATCCCCTGGACCGTAAGTATATCTCTGTATACTATATAATAAAACATTTGTGGGAAATTTTAACTTACAAAGATGTACTTAATGTTTTATAGGAGGCCCGGCCTCGTGATCAAACGGTTGCGGGTTCGAGTCACGTTACGGCACTGTGTTGTATCTTTGAACAAGATACTTTACTCAGCTTGTACCAGTCTTCTCAGCTGTAAATGAGTACATGGTTGGGTAGTGCTAGAATTGTTGAATGCTAGGTGTGAGCGCCGAAATGGCAGCACTGGCTGTATGCTCCACAGGGAGTCAGTTAAGAAAGATATATTGGCTGGTTGCGAAGGCCCAATAACCACAGATAATAATTGTGAACCACTTTGAGATGACATAAGACCTAGTGTGGGATAAAGGGGTTTATAAGAACCTCAAATGATACTTGATTATTTATTATTATTTTAAATATTTTGTTTTATTTTAACAGGGCAGGTGACATGATCATTCAGAAGGCGAAGAGGAAGAAGAAGAAGAAGGGTGAGCATGTCTACAGTATACACCTGTGTAAATGAAACCCTGAATAAAACCTCTTCTTACCCATTCTCATATGTTCCAATATACACTCTAAACGTCAGAAATGGTATTCTTATTTCAAAGCTTTTTATGCTAACATTGGTATGTTACTTTATGCACAGTGCATGCTAAATAAACATATTTGTCCTAAGTATATATGCTTTGGGACAGAATCGTGTGTAAGTAAGTGGATTGAATGTAAACAAAATTAAACTGTGTAGAAGCTGTGCTTCATTTGGAAGTACACATGAAATTAATGTGGTATAATACTGTATACAGTTCCAAGTACTGTCATAGAGAGTTATACAGTATACAAGGTATGATTTATACTGTATGCAGCTTTAACTTTGCGAGGTGCTTTTTGTGTTTGGAGGAAAAATGCAAAACAATATGCAGTGTTAAATTTGCAGTTTAAGTTGTAACTTTAAGTCACATAGTTTTATTTGACTTGAAATATTTGACATGACTTTGTACAAATGTAGTGTTATTGGACTAGAAATGTTCACTCCCAGATTCGCTTCACTGCAGAAATGGTGAAAATCACACTGTAGGCAGGAACATGTTTATAAATCCTGTTTCTCTGTCATTCTTCAGGGAAACTGCCAAAGAACCTTGATGCAGAAGTGGATTCTGAGCGATGGGTGCCAAGGCGGGAGAGGTCCTACTACAGAGGCAAAAGGAAGGACAAGAAAAAGGACATTGGTCAGTTAAATTTGTCAGTTTAATACAGTTAAACCTTTTTTACTGCCATAATGTTTGTCAATGGCATTATACAGAGATTTGGCATTTTGTAGGGAGAACCCTTAAAAGCTATTGTTAAAAATAAAGGGTGTTCATAAAAAGTGTAAGCAGTAAGGGCATTGGTGATTAAAATGAGGGGTGTTACATCAAAGGACCCTGTGATAAACTTTACCCTTGTGTGATGACACTGTGATAAACTTTACCCTTGAGTGATGACACTGTGATATACTTTACCCTTGTGTGAGTAAACAGTGACATATTCCTATAGACAATATCTCTTAGCCATAAGTAAGTGTATGACCACATATGTTAGAAGTTACCTATCATAGCCAAAGAAACGTTTCGAGTTTTTAATATAATAAGGATATACTGTATGAAAAGGGTCATTATATCAAAGTTGTACATGTACTGTATAAAGAGGGTCATTGTAACAAAGTTCTATTGTATAAGAGTGTCGTTATATCAAGTTTTTACTGTATATAAAACATAGAACATAATTGGCAGATCAGGTTGTCATATTAGCAACTCATCTTTAGGTGTTTCTCTTTCTGTGCCAGTGGTCATGATCAAGGCATTTCACTTTAGCTTGGGAGAGAGGTGGCTAGGTACACTTTAGCTTGGGAGAGGTGGCTAGGTTAACTTTAGCTTTTGAGAGAGGTTGCTAGGAACACTTTAGCTTGGGAGAGAGGTGGCTAGGTACACTTTAGCTTGGGAGAGAGGAGGCTAGGTACATTTTAGCTTTGGGGAGAGGTGGCTAGGTTAGCTTTAGCTTGGGAGAGAGGAGGCTAGGAACATTTTAGCTTGGGAGAGGGGGGGTAAGGTAATTTTTAGTGGAGAGAGGTGGCTAGGTTCATTTTAGCTTGGGAGAGAGGAGGCTAGGTACACTTAAGCCTGGGAGAGAGGTGGCTAGGTGCACTTTAGCTTGGGAGAGAAGTGGTAAGGTACATTTTAGTGAGAGAGAGAGGTGGCTAGGTACACTTAAGCCTAGGAGAGAGGTGGCTAGGTAAACTTAAGCTTGGGAGAGAGGTGGCTAGGTACATTTTAGCTTGGGAGAGAGGTTGCTAGGTACACTTTAACTTGGGAGAGAGGTGGCTAGGTACATTTTAGCTTGGGAGAGAGGTGGCCAGGTACACTTTAGCTTGGGAGAGAGGGGGCTAGGCACATTTTAGCTTGGGAGAGAGGTGGCTAGGTCCACCTTAGCTTGGAAGAGAGGTGGCTAGGTACACTTTAGCTTGGGAGTGAGGTGGCTAGGTACACTTTAGCTTGGGAGAGAGTGGCTAGGGACACTTTAGCTTGGGAGAGAGGTGGTAAGGTACATTTTAGTGAGAGAGAGAGGTGGCTAGGTACATTTTAGCTTGGGTGAGGGGTGGCTAGGTACATTTTAGCTTGGGAGAGAGGTGGCTAGGTACATTTTAGCTTGGGAGAGAGGTGGCTAGGCACACTTTAGCTTGGGAGAGAGGTGGCTAGGTACATTTTAGCTTGGGAGAGAGGTGGCCAGGTACACTTTAGCTTGGGAGAGAGGGGGCTAGGTAAACTTTAGCTTGGGAGAGAGGTGGCTAGGTACAATTCAGCTTGGGAGAGGTGGCTAGGTACACTTATTCCGGGGAAAGAGGTGGCTAGGTACACTTTAGTTTGGGAGAGAGGTGGCTAGGTTAACTTAAGCTTGGGTGAGAGGAGGCTAGGTTAACTTTAGCTTGGGAGAGAGGTTGCTAGGTACACTTTAGTTTGGGAGAGAGGTGGCTAGGTTAACTTAAGGTTGGGCGAGAGGTGGCTAGGTTAACTTTAGCTTGGGAGAAAGGTGGCTAGGTTAACTTTAGCTTGGGAGAGAGGTGGCTAGGTTAACTTAAGCTTGGGTGAGAGGAGGCTAGGTTAACTTTAGCTTGGGAGAGAGGTTGCTAGGTACACTTTAACTTGGGAGAGAGGTGTCTAGGTACATTTTAGCTTGGGAGAGAGGTGGCCAGGTACACTTTAGGTTGGGAGAGAGGTGGCTAGGTACACTTTAACTTGGGAGAGAGGTGTCTAGGTACATTTTAGCTTGGGAGAGAGGTGGCCAGGTACACTTTAGGTTGGGAGAGAGGTGGCTAGGTACACTTTAACTTGGGAGAGAGGTGGCTAGGTACATTTTAGCGTGGGAGAGAGGTGGCTAGGTACACTTTAGCTTTGGAGAGAGGTGGCTAGGTACACTTTAGCTTGAGAGAGGGGGCTAGGGTAACTTTTGCTTTTGAGAGAGGTTGCTAGGAACACTTTAGCTTGGGATAGAGGTGGCTAGGTACATTTTAGCTTGGGAGACAGGTGGCTAGGTACACCTTAGCTTGGAAGAGAGGTGGCTAGGTACACTTTAGCTTGGGAGTGAGGTGGCTAGGTACACTTTAGCTTGGGAGAGAGGTGGAACACTTTAGCTTGGGAGAGAGGTGGCTAGGTACATTTTAGCTTGGGAGAGAGGTTGCTAGGTACACTCTAGCTTGAGAGAGAGGTGACTAGGTTAACTTTAGTTTGGGAGAGAGGTGGCTAGGTTAACTTAAGCTTGGGTGAGAGGTGGCTAGGTTAGCTTTAGCTTGGGAGAGAGGTGGCTAGGTTAACTTAAGCTTGGGTGAGAGGAGGCTAGGTTAACTTTAGCTTGGGAGAGAGGTTGCTAGGTACACTTTAGTTTGGGAGAGAGGTGGCTAGGTTAACTTAAGGTTGGGAGAGAGGTGGCTAGGTTAACTTTAGCTTGGGAGAGAGATGGCTAGGTACACTTTAGTTTGGGAGAGAGGTGGCTAGGTTAACTTAAGGTTGGGAGAGAGGAGGCTAGGTTAACTCTAGCTTGGGAGAGAGGTGGTAAGGTTAACTTTAGCTTGGGAGAGAGGTGGCTAGGTTAATGACACTGCACTGTTGATGTCTTCTGTTAAAAAAAAATTCACACAAATATTTATGATCTAATTAAATCCATGATGGACCATTCTCACTACACAAATTACCATGAAAATGTTTGAATCTTCCAAAAACATAATTTTCAAAATGTTCACATGGTTAAAAGCTTGTTTCCCTTTGATGATGATAGCATGAGCTGTATCTCTGTAAAGCTGTTGTTGATCAGAATTATTGATTAAAAACATCTTTCTTTTCTTAGGCAAGGGAACACAAGGCAGTGCCAGTGTACCATCAGGGGACATGTAAGTATTCAAGAGTTACTGCCCTTGGTACTTTTATTTCATTTGTGATAATTAAACCCACTGTTAGGCCCAAACCATTAAATTACTTAGTCCTCAGTCCTATACTTACCAACTTTTTGAAATCTCTATGGGGGAGATTGTACATACTCAGAATTTAAAGCCTATTAAATAAAATATGGGAACAATACCCTAGGTAAAAAATAACACTTTGAAATGGCATCTATTGAGCTGTCCTTTCAGATGAAATCATTAGATCTTAAAAAATAGGAATAGTTTAGCAAATTTGCTGGTTGAAATGCTAAATTTTAGGGTCCAAAATCGAGAGTCTCTCCAATATAGGGAGAGTCGGTAAGTATACAGTCCACATTTTCTTTTAAAAATAGATGAGGAAAGGATACCTTTAATTAAATCCTTTAATCAAATATGCATCGACCTTTCAGGGATGCTAGTAAAGGTGGGTCCGGAAGTGAAGCGAATTCCCCACGACCAGGGTCTGCTCCATCCCCTACGGCCAGTGCAGCAGCAGCAGCCCTGCCCCAGGGACCACGGCAACAAAAACCTGCTCAGGCTCAGAAGAAAAAGAAGAAGAAAGGGAGCAAATGGTGATCTGCCATTTTTTTGTGAATTTAAAAGAACAGTTCAAATATTATTTTTACTGCCATAACAACATTTTATCCTCAAAATCATGTTTTTTGAAATATTTTGCTTCTCCTTTGTTAGCTCTGCTATTCTCCTAAGAATAGGGGCGTATGTGGTCAACCCCTTGTAGACATTAGTGTAAATTCAGTTTAAAGTGTTGAAATTTTCAAAACTGTAACATCAGTATCTAAACTAGAAAGAGGATATAAGACATTCAAGTTCCTAACCAACCCAGCATTGCAGCAGTGCCAACATTTCCAGGGTTTGTTTTTGCTAAAATTTCTTGGTTAAAAATTTTGCAAAGCATTAAGTGTTTAAGCTAGGATGGTGATATTTGGTATGGAAGTTCCAGAGGGGTTAAAACGTTCTTGCAAGGAAGTTAAAAATCTAAAGTATTTTAATTTGAACTTTGTATCTGTTTTTGAATATGATTTTATGCCAAAATATCAAATTATACATATATGGAATCGTCTTATGGGAAACATCCAGCCAAAAGGCGGCTTTACAGATTATTCGAGAATCATGCAGCCTCATCAAAATCCACTGTATACCACATTTGTTGTAATGTGTGTTTGATTTTGGGGAATCCCCTACCACTTTGTACGGTTGGTGTTAAAAATATTGTTAGAAATGTGTATAATAAATCTTGTATGTGCATTTATGGGAGTAGAGGAAAGCAATACATATTTCCCACCTTATGCTGTGCGTTGATTTTATTGTGAAGCAAACTTTCCATCACTTTTTCCTCATCTCTGCAGACTTTTTTCTATGCAAGACTTATAGAATCTCTCACTCCTGTGTGATGTTAATAGAGAACTCTTAACCAGAGAAAAAGATTTTTGAAGTGTAGCCCAAAGCTTTTGTCGAAAGAAGATGTAAGGGAATAAATAGTGGTTCATAGAGATATACTCCCTCACTCCACTTAGCGGGTAACCTTTGACCGATGACCAAGTGTAGAACTCAAAGTTAACATACTATGTACCATTCTAAATTTGTAGAGGAGTTTACGAGATATGTTATTGTACACAATCCTTAAAAGTGGGATTTTTGACCATGACCTTTCACACTTCAACTGTCACCTATCGCCATGTAAAACTAATCGGGTGAAGAACTCGATATAACCATACTACAAGTGTATGGTGTAAATATGGACTAAATATGGTCAGGTGTGCATGAAAGACCTTGTATACTAGCTGTTTACTATGGACAGATGGACGCACTGACAAAACGATTACTATATATTTCTGAACATATTCTTCAGGTTGGCAAGTATGGATTGTGAAAAGATTCATGTAGCACAACCAGAAAGTGTTTATATGTGACGTTTTGATGACTAGTACGGTATGTGCTTGCGATCACTAGTACGGTATGTACGCCATCGCCTTCATCAGACAAACGACCAGTGACAAATTGCTTCACAATAATTACTACATAACCTCCTCACCAAGTTGGGGGTATAACAATTTCTTGGTAGAGATTGCAGTTTTCTGTAAATTCTGACCTTGGCTGTTAATAGGATGCTCAATTAACCAAACCAAACTTGTAGAAAATTGAAATGTCCTCATTTACCACTGACTAAAATAGAAATGTGATCAGGATCTGTCGGTCTGTGTGATGAAAACTGGAAATGAGAACAAGTACAAATAATATTCCCTCAACAATCTTTTTATTTAGGTACTTCTTTTATGATATAAAAATAATTGTCAATCTTTCAGAATACTTAGTCTTATTAATTACGAATAGAACTAAATTTGCCCAATTTAAAAGGAAAGACACACCCTTTACATCCATAATATACAGTTTTGAAATTAACTCATGGTTTTAAATGGTATATATACAATGCATATTTTTGTTACCTTTCTCAATCTATATATACAAATATTTGCATGAGGATTATGATACGTAAAGGAGACAATTAAATAGTACACACAAGACAATAAGTTAGCATTTAATAGGAAGAATGTTAAAGTTTAATTAAGAAAATGACAACAACTAAAGCATCAAGACATCCCAGAGATTATACTTAGAGGCACATCATTTTAGTGGTAATACTTACTTTCTTAGCGGTACATGTAAAATTCATTTAATGGCAATAATATTTCAGTGTCAATCTTTTAGTATTACCCTTTCACCGCTATAGAACTTTAGTAGACTCTACCATGCATTCATCTGGGTGAGTCCATTATGGTCTACAGTGGTGAAAGGGTTAAATGTTTTATGTAATTTTTTCAATTTTGATTTTAATAGTTATGAAAATACCACTGACCATTATACACTAAAACCTCATTATACTGTCGCCAATTTTTACGACTGAAATTTTGAATTATAAAACAGTTTGGCAATATAGTGAGGGACACAAAACTATTTAAGATAAAAAGAACTGAGGATATTGAAATATGTTGGCAGTTAGTGGAGTGGCAATGATATGGGGGTCACTGTATCAAAGTTTTACTTAAGTCATAATGCTAATAATGTTCGATACAACTAAATCTAAAGTGATACCCTGGTAACTTTGTTCAAATAACAATTCATATATATAAAAAAAACTAGGTTCGAATGAATAAAATATCTGGCTTTTTAACCCTTTCATCCCTAGGTATCTTTAGTGGACTCTACCATGCATTTATTGGGATGAGTCCATTCTGGTCTACGATGGGTGAAAGGGTTAATGAAGTTAATAAATACGTTTAAGAATTTTGAATGGAACATTTACTTTTGGTCGTATTTTCATTATTCTAGACTGCATTTTCTTTCCCAGATCATCTGCAAAAATATAGACATATACCTTTCTTGGATAACATATCCTAGCTAGGAGTAGGGGAAATCTGTTATTACTACTGGTATAATTTGATAACAATATACATGAACATGAAATAATCTCACTTGAGACTTGCATAAGTCCACTTGGTGCTTTTTTTTTGTTACTTTTGGTCACAAATTTTAATGTCCTTAAATACTGACCTATAACATAGATGCTATGAAAATGAATTATTTACACTCAAAATGAGTAATAATAATTGCCCAATACTGATTAAAAATAATAAGCTCCCATTAACTACCACAGCTTTTTTTAATAAAAATTAAAAGTCTGTTAATAATTCTAAAGAGGATCCAAAATACTTAACATTAAACACAGTGAATAAAGAAGGCTACATTGCATACAGTCCCAAAATGGCAACTATTCCTATTAGTTACTCAAGAAAAAATTAACTGTGACTGATTTGTGTTGGTTAGTTGTTAGTATCAGATTGTGTAAATATACAAATTGGAATGTTTGAACTGCACAACCTTGAAATCAAGGTAAACCACCGACTGCCGATACTGAAGCTCATGGGCTTGTGCATGTATACTGACTAGCCATTAGCATCCACTGCTTCTTTGAAATTTGTGAATCGACCCTCGCTACAGGGTCACAGCTGCAAACTCTCATACTCTACGAAAATGTTGTATTGTATTCTACCCATATCAAATTGTAAAGACATTTGGCAAGTAAGAAATAGTCAAGCAGTCGTTTGGTATGCGAGTGCATCACAAAAGTGGATGTTTTAACCGAGGTTCACAAGAGGTTAAATTTACACTCCAGTGAATTTACAACTTGTTGTGTCTCGGTGCCAGTGTGTTGATCTATATGATGCACATAATACATTTTGACTGTTAGGGTTAAAACTTAAATACAAGGGGTTTTTATGATTAAATCTTGTGTAGTATGGATTACTCTGGTAGCCTCAACCCAGTGTTTTAGAGGACAGATTGATCAACTTCTACACAAACAAGTACCTGTTAATCCCGCTATTAAGCAATACAGCTGAACCATTAATACTCCATTGTACACTACACAAGTCAAAATCCAGGAAATACATGTCAATGTTGCTCCAATGAATTCCGATGTTCGGAAGAGATTTGCTGTTTTGTTTGCACTTTTCCTGGATTTTTACTTGCACCAGTGTGAACTCTGTATACCTTCGTGGTATCCACGGTATAATCAAAGGAGAAACAGAAGATACATAACTTATCTANCCCCGCCCCGCCCCCCCCTTCTGTGACTACACAAGTCAGTCAGAAATTGAAATGCATTTTGTGTAAATAGGAATTGGTAGATGTTACTCTAGCCGTCAATATATAGATAATGGCTAACAAGCTCCAGTATCCAGCATAAGGTATAGAACCTACACAGCTAACAAACAGCACAGCAAAATACTGAACAATAAATGTCCCACTTCTCAACTTACTGGTCTGAAAGGGACTACACAATTATGATAGATTCAATGTTCAAAATTAATGAAAATAAATACCCCTAAGACAAAAAAATGTCTACAACAATTGATAGAGTACATACAAAACAGTTTCTTTGATATCATAAAGACATTAAAAGCTATTTATAACCTTTCAATTGTGCATAACAAAAAGGTTTTAAAGTCATCGGTATCAACAGGTTTCCCTGTGGCTTGTATAAACAGGTTTATTGGTGTCCGTTATAGACAGGTTTCCCTGTGCCCAGCATGGTTTTGGTGTCCGTTATAGACAGGTTTCCCTGTGCCCATCATGACCAGGTTTTGGTGTCCGTAATAGACATCAAATTAATCTATAGGTGAACTTACATTGTTAACGACATCAAATTAATCTATAGGTGAACTTACATTGTGAACGACATCAAATTAATCTATAGGTGACCTGACATTGTTAACGACATCAAATTAATCTATAGGGGAACTTACATTGTTAACGACATCAAATTAATCTATAGGGGAACTTACATTGTTAACAACATCAAATTAATCTATAGGTGAACTTACATTGTTAACGTCATCAAATTAATCTATAGGTGAACTTACATCGTTAACGACATCAAATTAATCTATAGGTGAACTTACATCGTTAACGACATCAAATTAATCTATAGGTGAAATTACATTGTTAACGACATCAAATTAATCTATAGGTGACCTTACATTGTTAACGACATCAAATTAATCTATAGGGGAACTTACATTGTTAACAACATCAAATTAATCTATAGGTGAACTTAAATTGTTAACGATATCAAATTAATCTATAGGTGAACTTACATTGTTAACAACATCAAATTAATCTATAGGTGAACTTAAATTGTTAACGATATCAAATTAATCTATAGGTGAACTTACATTGTGAACGACATCAAATTAATCTATAGGTGACCTGACATTGTTAACGACATCAAATTAATCTATAGGGGAACTTACATTGTTAACAACATCAAATTAATCTATAGGTGAACTTAAATTGTTAACGATATCAAATTAATCTATAGGTGAACTTACATTGTTAACAACATCAAATTAATCTATAGGTGAACTTAAATTGTTAACGATATCAAATTAATCTATAGGTGAACTTACATTGTGAACGACATCAAATTAATCTATAGGTGACCTGACATTGTTAACGACATCAAATTAATCTATAGGTGAACTTACATTGTTAACAACATCAAATTAATCTCTTACATTGTTAACATCATCAAATTAATCTATAGGTGAACTTACATTATTGGTTCAAAATATTCAGTTCAACTTTCATATCAATACAAAATTTATCTACAGGTGAAAACTTGTGTCATTGTGAATAAGTTTCATACAGGTGAAATCTTACATCAATGTCAACAACAAATTAATCTTCAGGTGAAAACTCATATCATTGTGAACACAAACTTACGTACTGGTGAAATCTTACCTCACTGTCAACTTATAATTACACAAAGGGGAACACTCACATCACTATTTACATCAAATTAATTTTAAACGAGATCTTGAATCATTAATAACACAAAATTAATTCTTAGTGAAATCTCACATTATCGTTATCAAGTCAAACTATAGGTGTATATCGTTGTCAACATCAGAGATCTATAGGTAAAATCTCACATCACTTTCATCCTCAAATTTACAGGTGAACCCCCATCATTGTCAACATCAAATTACATACACATGAACTCACATCTTTGTCAACACCAAATTACATACAGGTGAAATCTCACATCATTGTCATCACCTTACTACATACAGGCGAAAACTTGCATTATTGTCAACATCAAACCAATCTTCAGGTGAAGTCACATCATTGTCAGTAACAAGTCATATCCAGGTAAGCTTAAGTTATCATCAAGTCATCTCCAGGTAAGCTTACGTTATCATCAAGTCATATTTCGGTAAGCTTACGTTATCATCAAGTCATATTTCGGTAAGCTCAAGTTATCATCAAGTCATCTCCAGGTAAGCTATAGTTATCATCAAGTCATATTTCGGTAAGCTTAAGTTATCATCAAGTCATCTCCAGGTAAGCTTACGTTATCATCAAGTCATATCCAGGTAAGTTATAGTTATCAAGTCATATCCAGGTAAGCTACAGTTATGATCAAGTCATCTCCAGGTAAGCTATAGTTATCAAGTCATATCCAGGTAAGCTATAGCTATCATCAAGTCATCTCCAGGTTAGCTTAAGTTATCATCAAGTCGTATCTAGGTAAGCTATAGTTATCATCAAGTCATATCCAGGTAAGCTACAGTTATCATCAAGTCATATTTCGGTAAGCTTAAGTTATCATCAAGTCCTATCCAGGTAAGCTATAGTTATCATCAAGTCATCTCCAGGTAAGCTATAGTTATCAAGTTGTATCTAGGTAAGCTATAGTTATCAAGTCATATCCAGGTAAGCTATAGTTATCATCAAGTCATATCCAGGTAAGCTATAGTTATCATCAAGTCATCTCCATGTGAAATTCCACATCATCATAATTATCACATTCATTTCAATGTAAACTCTAACATACATTATCATCAAATTAATCTCAGAATAAACGCTCACATATTTGTCCATGAATTCAATCCTCACTGCATTCATCACCAAATGAATGTATATCCTGTTCATGAGATTCAAGAATAATCAAGGAAAATGTTTTAGCATGACAATTAACTAAGGACAGAGGAAAACCTACCAATAAAATCTGATAAACATAGGTCCAGTACTTCTTGAAAAATAGTGATAATAAGAATTGTTTAAGGACGAACATTAAGAGACCAGAGACAGGTGATTTAAACAGCCCACAAATAGATCAGTATAGAGAGGTTAAATTCATGGTGTACTTGTAAATATTTACCACAATATTCAACCAAAGCTCCTTTGGTGTTTGATTACAATGAAATCTGATTATACCAACATACCAAAGCTATCTTTCATACAGTAATTACATCCCATTGAGTTTTGAAATCTCCTATTTACCACAATGAAGATGAGAAGAAGAAAAAATGCTATTATAGATCACTACAGAATTCAAAAATATATTTCTATAGGCAAAGGAGTGGATACTGCTTTAAAAATGGAAAATTCTTGGAAGAAATGGAATAAATTATTAGAAATCACTCCCAATCCCTGACAAACCCAAAAAGGATAGCATACATGTGTATAGTTTACCTCTGTTAATTAAATTTTGATTAAAAGAGAGAAATGTAACTCCCTGCCACTTTACTGAAGAAATTAAAATTATTATTATGTTTCAGGTTAAATAAATAGTTGCACTAATAAATGGACACACATGGACTCAACATCTTTACCACTTGGACCCCTTGTTGTCTTCTCAGCCCTCTCCCCCCCTCCTCAATTTCTGTAAAAGCTCTTTTGCTCCTTCCCTCCCCA